GCAAATGCATCCTCATCGAAATGGGTAAATTTACTATTAATGATATTCTTCGCAATTCATAAATAAATATATCCCTCGTGTTCTCTTTGACGCGATTTATTATAAAATTAGCATTGCGAATCGTCTGTTGAATTCTGTTTGGATACGGAATTATTGAAACAAAAATATCTTTTGCGTGAGTTCGCCGGAATTTTTTTTATTGTTAATCTTCACTGGAATCGGCTCAATTGATAATTAAATTAAATTAAAAATTAGTAAATATTCTTTGGACGTTCTAAAATAAAGTTGAACAGCGATTTTTTGAAAAATATCACTACCAGCAACTCCGGCACATTTTTGGAACAAAGCGCCTGAGATAAAGGAAGTTTTGTTTTGAGCGGAAAAGATTACGAGTCCTTGCGAAAGCGTTTGATTTTATTCATTTTATGTTGCTAAGTATAAAAATGGGCAAAAAATGTTTTAATCGTAATGGTACGCACGCCAAGCACGTTTTCACTACAAATAACAATTGCCAACGTCGACAAAAACATAGCATCTTCGGTGCAATTATGCTGAAAACATTGGGCTCCGCAGCAGAGGCTTCGGTTTTACGGAATAAATGACGGATGTCTCCATAGCGGAACCAACGGAGCGCTAAGGGTTAAATATTTTTATTCGAAAATAAAGAGAATAAAAGAACGAAAAGATGTAATACGTCTCGTTCGATAAATATAAAGCAAAAACGAAACGCAATTGGTCACTCCCCGGTAATCGGACCGACCACCCTACGATACGAAAGTATTCCCGGGAAACGTAAAGTTATTTTTCTAATTGTCGAAGTCCTCAATCGATCAGAACTCTTGGGGGACCGCGTATCCGAGGAAAAGCTTCGCCGATATAGTGATGCGAGCACAAATGCAAGTCGCGAAGAAGAAGCAAGAGGAACCGGAGGATCCGAAAACTAGAAGACGACGTTTGTACAAAATTATCTCCGAGGAGAGACCGATCTTCCCTGTTCAGGAAACCAACTTCTACGGGATGTTGATGGACAATAAGGAAATACTGAAGCTGTTGTCAATGCTGAGCACGTGCATGCTGGAATTCAAGCCGGTAGTTAACTTTAACATATTTTTGATAAAAAAACAAAAAAGTAGTTCAACGGTTCAACGTGATTCCTTATACAGGATGTTCCACAATTATTTTAACAGCCGAAAATGAGGGGTTAAGTTGTCGTTGAACTGTGTTCGGACATGGAATTTTTTAAATTAAAATATCATTTACTTACTTTGCTAATATTCACTGTACACCTTGCTTAAAAATTTCATATGTTGACCTTGACTTAACCTTGACATATGTTGACCTTGAAATAACCTTGACATAACCTTGATATATGTTGACCTTGACATGACCTTGACATAACTTTGACATAACCTTGACAAAACCTTGAGTAATTTAACCGTGACGGTCGTTTTAATTTTCTAGTGTGCATGACACCTTTTTAAGCAAGGTGTACAGTGAAGATTAACAAAGTACGTGAATGATATTTTAATTTATTTTAATTTATTTTTTAATTGTGTTAAAGGATGTAAGGGATATGTTTGTTAGAGAAATATGAAGAATATTATCAATAAGAAACTCATCCATTTAGTTGTAAGTCCTGCACGGAAATGTGTGCAGGACAGTGCATTGACCTCGTACAATGTCAAGGTTATGTCAAGGTTATCTCAAGGTTATCTCAAGGTTATGTCAAGGTCAACACATGTCAAGGTTATCTCAAGGTCATGTCAAGGTTATGTCAAGGTTATGTCAAGGTTATCTCAAGGTTTTGTCAAGGTTATGTCAAGGTATAAATTAGCTTTAAATTAGCTTTGCGAATCATTCGTTGAACTGTGTTCGTACATGGAATTATTTAAATTAAAATATCATTTACGTACTTTGTTAATCTTCACTGTACACCTTGCTTAAAAATTTCATATGTTACACACAAGGTGTCATGCACACTAGAAGATTAAAACAGCCGTCACGGTTAAATTACTTACTGTTTTGTGTCCGAAAAATTAGTAAATATTCTTCAGACGTTCTAAAGTAAAGGTGAACAGCGTTTTTCTTAAAAATATCACTGTTACGTAGTAAAAAAAAAATCCGGATAGTTCTCGCTTCGTCGGCTCGAGTCCGGCCCGACCATCTGTCAAAGCCTCGTGCTGCGGGCTCTCGAACTTCGCGCCGTCACCTCTCATTGGTCAGTATTTTCCGTTAATAACTCGTAAACAAAGCCGCAGATTGCATTTTCGCAAAGGAAAAAGTTACTTCAAATGACCTCAGCTACCCCTCGTTTTCGGCTGTTAAAATAATTGTGGAACACCCTGTATAACGCATATTGTTTTCGTAGGATCTCGTCGAGTTTATTAACCGATGGAAACCTTATAAATTTTTGTGGAAGAACGAACGAAGCATGAGAGAATTATTGCAAATTTCCTTGCCGGAATTCGAAGCCACGCTTCGGAAGCACAGTGAACTCGAGGACCTTTTAGCTACCGAACCGGACATGATCATTTTCGGAACCTCCATTGCAATTTCTACTGAGAAATTGAAATATGGCCTGTACACAGAGCTCAAAGGTACGAAATATTATAAATTAGCAGATCTTTATGGAACATCTACTGCACTGTCAATTACTGTCACTTGTAATAGTGACAATTATGCAGTTCATTTAACTGCTATCAAATGTTGGATATGAAAACTTATTCTAGGATAATTTGACCTTCCAAATCAATTTATTTTGATTATTTTCTACAATTTTTGTCGTATTTATCTCCTTATCTATATTTATATTTACCTTCTGTAGTCACTAATTAAATGATCGAAAACGCGAGCATATTAACCCTTTGCACTCGAGTGGTGACTCTGAGGCGCCATTAAAATCGTTACATCACGTTTCAAGATAATTTTTATATTATAAAAGTTTAGATGTGAAAAATTGTTAAAAGTCTAATTGTTGTACGAGTCACAAGACTAAATTTCATTTGCATAAAATGCACTTTGTCATATAAAATGGAAATACCATAAGACAGAAAAATTAATTTAGATTTACAGTTAAAATGGCTTCGAGTGCAAAGGGTTAAAATATGGTCACTGTACAATACGATTGGTTTATTAAAAAGCAATTAGAACGCTATCTGCTAATAATTTTAATTATCATTATTAATTACCATTGATTATAATTATCATTATAAATAATATAATTACGTCGATGATAATTTTTGTAGCGTGCACACATAAGATCGGCCAAGCTATGAAGAAAAAATACAGACGGGAGATGGAGTACGTTTATGCTCTGATGAATGAAATGGAGCGTAAACTAGACCGACAGATCCGCGACCTCGACGACGTGCGTCTCATCATGGACACCCTGAAGAAGATCCGCGAACAGGAAGTGGACATGGAGCTGAAGATCGATCCGATCGAAGAAGCTTTCAACATAGTGACGAGATACGAGGTACCGGTTGACCAAGAGTGTCTGGAACAAGTCGACAGCCTGCGGTACACGTGGCAGAGGTTGCTCACGCGGGCGCAAGAGAGTCACGTGTTGCTGTTGAAGCTGCAACCGCAGTTCGAAGAGGACCTAAGAAACAATCTGACTAAATTCCGACTGGACAACGAAATGTACTGCGAGGAATACAGATCCTCGGGACCGATGCAGTCGGGTTTGAGTCCGCGGGAAGCGTCCGATAGGCAGATCCTCTTCCAGAATCGATTCGACGGGATGTGGAGGAAGTTGCAAACTTATCAAAGCGGCGAAGAACTGTTCGGTCTGCCTATCACGGATTACCCGGAGTTGTCGCAGATCAGGAAGGAGCTGAACTTGCTGCAGAAATTGTACAAACTGTACAATGACGTGATCGATAGGGTTAACAGCTACTACGATATCCCGTGGGGCGAGGTAACGTGGGGCGCTAATTACGTCATTCTAGTCGTAGAACAATGCATAGCTATGAAAGAAGTCGTTGTGCAAGGTATTAAAAATGTAGTATCGTAACAGTTCGTCTCAAACTCGTGCCATAAAAGTTCAGCTAGAAGATTCAGCGGTCGACCTTGATTCAGCCGCAGACCTTAGAACCGCAGTCTCCCTAACTGACGCTCAGATTGCGCACAAAAATGGACAATTCGGGAAGCGAAGATACGATTATACGAGCCTCGCAGCTCGTTTTTTATAGTTGTCGACAATTCGTAACTATACAAACGAACCGCGAGGATCGAACAATCGTATCTTCTCTTCCGAAATTGTCCATTTTTCTGAACAATCTGAGCGTCAATTAGAGAGTCATTACTGTACACCTGAGCACCCTTTTCTCATCGATAATCCGATAATTCATTCGCAGCGTTAAAGTAGAAATATGCTTGCTAGGTGAACATCGAGGACATAAACAACGAGCTGATGGAATTCCAAAACCGTTGCCGCAAGCTCCCGAAGGGTCTGAAAGAGTGGCCGGCGTTCTTCGCCCTGAAGAAGACCATCGACGACTTCAACGACATGTGTCCCCTTCTGGAGCTAATGGCTAACAAAGCCATGAAGCCCCGCCACTGGCACCGAATCGTGGAGGTGACAGGCTACTCGTTCGATCTCGAAAGCGAGGGATTCTGTCTGAAGAACATCCTCGAGGCGCCATTGTTGAAGTACAAGGAGGACATCGAGGACATTTGCATATCGGCGATGAAGGAAAAGGACATCGAGGCGAAACTGCGGACGGTCGTGAACGAGTGGTCGTCCCACGAGCTGACGTTCATGACGTTCAACAACAGGGGCGAGTTGTTGCTGAGAGGCGACACCACGGCCGAGACGATCGGTCAGCTCGAGGACAGCCTGATGGTTCTCGGCTCGTTGATGTCGAACCGGTACAACGCGCCGTTCCGCAAACAGATACAACAGTGGCTGTCGGATCTGTCGAATACGAACGAGATCTTGGAGAGGTGGCTGCTGGTGCAGAATATGTGGGTCTACCTGGAGGCGGTGTTCGTCGGCGGCGACATCGCGAAGCAGCTGCCGAAAGAGGCGAAAAGATTTAGCAAAATCGATAAAAGCTGGCAGAAGATCATGCAGAGAGCTCACGAGACCCCGGGCGTGGTACCTTGCTGCGTGGGGGATGATTTGCTGAAACAACTTTTACCTCACCTACAAGAGCAATTGGAGTTGTGCCAGAAGTCTCTAAGCGGGCAAGTATATGCATTAGCTCCTAGATACTCCGTTTTTATTACTCTAAATTGTCGAAAAAGTTCGTAGCGACTGTTAAAAGGGTATTACTAGTATATTACGTTACGTGAAAAAATGATCCGGAATTTTTCAATCTGAAGTCCCGGGATATGCATGTGTTAAAACAGTTTTCTTCGTGAACACTTTTGCAGACGGAAGTATACTACGAAAAACAAATAAATAGCATAATTATTTATTTACCGGAAGCGAATGTAATATATTTTTCAGTGTCTGGACTGTGTCTAGGAGGCGCTCCATAATGTTCTTTTAAATAATAATTTTAAATGAACTTGTTATATTATATTAATACTTTATATTAATAATATTATATATTATATTAATTAAATTTGATGGGTTACGGATGGGATTATTGTAGTTTTTGAACAATTTTTTCGAGAAATTCTGAACCGTTAGTCTTCGATTTTAAAAGAACTATTAGAAAATTGGTGGTACAATAATGTCTCTCTAATTGACGCTAAGATTGTCCACAAAAATGGACAATTTGGGAAGTGGAGACACGATTATTCGATCCCTGCGGTTCATTTTTATAGTTACGAATTGTCAACAACTATAAAAACGAGCCGCGAGGCTCCAACAATCGTATCTCTTCTCTCTTCCAAAATTGTCCATTTTTCAATCAATCTGAGCGTCTGAGCGTCAATTAGAGAGACATTACTGTAAATAGTGTTAAAATTCTATGCGTTTCATATTTATAACTATAGATATTTGGAGAAGAAACGTATGATGTTCCCAAGATTCTTCTTCGTTTCGGATCCCGCCTTGTTGGAAATCCTTGGTCAGGCATCCGATTCGCACACGATACAAAATCATCTGCTCTCCATATTCGACAACACGCGTTATGTCAAGTTTCACGACATCGAGTATAACAAGATGACCGCCATCATATCGTCCGAAGGTGAAACTATCTTGGTATGTACATTTCCAAAAATAAGCTACTGATAAAAAAAAACGGTACCATGACTGTTGTATTCTATTTTAGAATCACGGAAAAATATCTTTCTTTCACTCATTGTTAAAAACGAAACAAATTAATAACAATGGATACATTCAATTTGTCTCAGATGAAATATTATAATTGTAACTATTCTTTTACGAAAAATAATAATTTCCACTGTTTGAACTTGCATTCACGTAATAACTCGACTGTGAACTTCTTATGTATGTAGAACAAAAATGGTTGGAACAAATACAAAACTGTCAAGCATTGAAAGAATTAAAAAGCATTATTATATTATTTTCAACTTATTACAATGATTAATCGTGAACAAACATTTTCATCGAACTTACGTTTCTTGCAATAAACTTACGCAATTTTTACATTTGTATAAAGATCCGCAGTCAATAATAACAATAATCATCTATAAGTAACAGTACATTGAATTAAATGCTGCAACTGATACAAAAAACTATTGTATACGATGCGTAGGTGTACGATTTTCAGCACGATGTTCCTAAACTTTTCGAACATTCTTTATATTAAATGAAAATTTTACGGAGACATTTCTGATAAGTTCAGCAGCAAGATTATGCAAACAGGATAAATTTTTCACCAATAAAAGAAATATAGGAGAACTATTTTGTTACCAACAGAAATTTTATTGTTTACGAACTGCACAGCTCGAAAAGGCGGTAAGAGCGGAAGGTTCTGTGGAAACATGGCTGACGCAGCTTTTGCAGACATCTCAACAATCTCTGCACTCCATCATCCGACAGTGTTACTCCATGATCAACGACGCGAACTTCAACTTCCTCGGTTTCCTGGACAAGATGCCCGCTCAAATCGGTCTGCTGGGCATACAGATGATCTGGACCAGGGACAGCGAAATGGCTTTGGCTCAAGCACGCGCGGACAAAAAAATCATGCAGGAAACGAACAACCGATTCCTCGATGTATTGAACACTTTGATCGATCAGACTACCAGAGATCTGTCGAAAATCGAGCGAACTAAATTTGAAACGTTGATTACCATTCACGTGCATCAACGTGATATATTCGACATACTGGTAAGTTTTCTGATTACAGTAATGTCTCCTTAACTGACGCTCAGATTGTCCAGAAAAATGGACAATTTGGGAACAGGAGATACGATTATTCGAGCCTTGCAGCTCGTTTTCATAGTTGTTGACAATTCGTAATTATAAAAATGAACCGCGTGGATCGAATAATCGTATCTCCTCTTCCCAAATTGTTCACTTTTGTGGTCAAACTGAGCGTCAATTAGAGAGACATTGCTGTAATTTGTAAAATGGCAAATGAACCTTCAAGAAATACGTTTCTAATGCATTTTAATATTCTTAGGGTTCATATGCATGTATTTCATGAAGATTACAATGTCATATTTCTAGAATTCTGTACGAAAAATATTTATCGTTATTTCAAAAATCGAAACAATTCAATTAATTAAACCGAAACTAGAAAGTTAAATTTTATGATAGTCGAGTAGTATAGAAACATCCTAGTCAAATTCAATTTGTTCGAATATATTACAATGAAAATGAATTTTCAAAATTGGTCAAAATTTAGTGTCACCCATATGTGACCGACGCGGCGCGGCGCTCAACATGTTAAAGACATTTCTGATCATTATTTATGAGATTTTAATCGTCGCTTGGTATTCTTTAAAAAGTTACCAATTATTAAAAATTGATCATGAATACGCATCCGTCTCACAATACGATTAGTACATATATCGTACAATTTTATTATTATCGATTGAAAAATTTATCAAAAACTTCAACGTTTGGGGTTACTAAGCAATTATAATCGCACGTCGAACGAAGGAATCCGCGAAAAAGCATAACGACAGTAAAAATATTCTATACATATAGCGTTTCGTCATTTCTTCTACTCGTGAACATAAAAACCAACCAAAACAATCTTCTTTCATTTTGGACGCTTAAAAGTCTATTTTGAACGATTAATTACTTTTAAATGAATAAAGATCGAGACAGCCAAAACCTTTTGTAAGTTTCTCGGAGGAGTGACTTTGACAACATTTGTCAGGATCTAGTTAAAATGAAAATGCATGATAACGCAAAGGCAAATAAATTTGTTCGCAGTGCCGTTTAAACGTGCGGTCGATAAACGATTTCGAATGGCTGAAGCAATGCAGATTTTACTTCAAGGAAGATCTTGATAAAACGTCGATATGCATAACGGACGTAAACTTCACGTACCAAAACGAATATCTGGGTTGCACGGAACGGCTCGTTATCACACCTTTAACTGACAGGTGAACGCGACGCGTACAACGTTATCGACCAATTCGACTGGATATACATTTTTCATCGATTCGTGTCGCGCTTGTTTATTCTTTATTTGCATTTCAAGGTGTTACATAACGTTGGCGCAAGCTTTATCGATGTCAATGGGCGGCTCGCCCTGTGGTCCAGCTGGAACCGGAAAAACGGAGACTGTCAAGGATATGGGGAAAACATTGGCGAAATACGTGGTGGTTTTCAACTGTTCCGATCAAATGGATTACAGGGGATTAGGACGAATTTACAAGGGCTTAGCACAAAGTGGTTCCTGGGGTTGTTTCGATGAATTCAATAGAATCGAGCTACCGGTTCTCTCCGTTGCCGCTCAACAGGTCGCCGTTGTTCTCGCCGCGAAGAAAGAGAAGAAAAAGCAATTCGTCTTCACCGACGGCGATCTGATAGACATGTGTCCCGAGCTTGGGATTTTCATAACTATGGTAATGGAAAGATCGGACGTTTTGTTAATTTTGATCCATGCGAAACCACGAAACGCATTTATTTCTCAATTGTGTGCACTCTAACCGAATATGTAACAGACACGATACAAATTTCGTCGGAAAGAACAATCCTCTTATCCGATTATAATGAAAAATAGAAGTTGAAAGTTCGACTTTATCCTATGAGTTATTTTTATTATTCAATCGAACCGGTTTTGACGAAAGAATATTCAAAGCGACGGCATTTCGTTCAACTTCTTTTTAGCGAAACATATTCTATGGTCCCAATTTGTTCCGGTTCGATATTATCATCCGTTCTTGAATAACAAAGATTTATGATTTATCTTCGAAAGATTTCTACAATAAGAAAAGTATATTGCAACGCGAAAGACGATGAACGCGTGTTGTAGAATCCTGGCTATGCAGGCAGGAAAGAATTGCCGGAGAATCTGAAAATACAGTTTCGAACGGTCGCCATGATGGTGCCCGACAGACAAATCATCATCCGAGTAAAGCTCGCAAGTTGCGGTTTTCTGGAGAACATTACTCTGGCCCGGAAATTTTACACCTTGTACAAACTGTGCGAAGAGCAACTTACCAAACAAGTAAGCCCTTTGAAAAATACATACAAATAACTACAGTAATGTCTCTCTAATTGACGCTCAGATTGTCCACAAAAATGGACAATTCGGAAAGAGGAGATACGACTATTCGAGCCTTGCAGCTCGTTTTTATAATTGCTGAGAATCGGTAATTATAAAAACGAGGCGCAAGACTCAAATTAATCGTATCTCCTCTTCCCGAATTGTCCGTTTTTGTGGACAATCTGAGCGTCAGTTAGAGAGACATTACTGTACCACCATTTCTGTAATGCATAACACCACGTTTACATCCGAAGGTTCATTACGATTTTGGTCTAAGAAACATATTGTCAGTGTTGAGAACTCTGGGAGCATCAAAACGAGTGAACTCAAAAGACTCCGAAAGTACGATTGTTATGCGAGTGTTGCGGGACATGAATCTTTCCAAACTCATAGGTAATAAATACTGTTGCTTCAATTAACGCATTGCCTATCGGCGATTATTTCACAGTATTTGAAGTTCTTTAATTGTTTGAGTCCCAAGCAGCGCGATCGCGCTGTTCAAATTTTGTATCGCGATCAAACTTTTTTGTTTGTCAATCTTGACGAGCGCTATCGCGCCACTTGGTTCTCTTCGCAATCGATTAAGACAAGCGCTATTACGCTGTTCGCCACTTTTCGACCGCGTTTTCTGAATAACCTCTGGGACTCAAACGGTTAATGTATCCGAGAAATGTTGCGAATCTATGAAAAATGCGATTCCTAAGATGATTCGAAGTAACTTTTTCCTTAGCGAAAACTTTCCCCGCGGCTTTGTTAACGAGTTATTCGCGAAAAACATGAGCCAATCAGAGAGCGAGAACTACTGCCGCTCCGCCTTCACTCTCTGATTGGCTCGTTTGTTTTTCGTTCATAACTCGTTAACAAAGCCGCAACCAACATTTTCGCCAAGGAAAAGGTTACTTCGAATCATCTCAGGAATCAGCCCTTACAAGAATTTACAACATTTTTAGGACGCCCTGTATTATTCGTAATTACAAATATTTTGATAAATTTGTTAACAGTAGTAATTTTAATCATGAAGCAACAAATCACCCCAGTTGCCTAATCTAATCATTTTCTCGGGAATTATTACTTGGAATAAAATTGTTCAGTATTTGTTCGAGTGGTCACGCGATCATTGAAAATTCTATTATTTTCGCTATGTAAAGTATTAATAATTTCGATAATTTTTTCTGCAAACTCATATTTATGATTGATTAATAATTTCAGACGAGGATGAACCACTGTTCATCTCTCTGGTAGCAGATCTGTTTCCGAATCAAGCTCTAGAAAAGACTTCTTATCCGGAATTAGAAGAGGCGATCAACCAACAAGTTGAAGAAGCTGGATTAATCTATCATCCACCCTGGGTGCTAAAATTAATACAATTATACGAAACTCAGAGGGTGAGGCACGGTATAATGACGCTGGGCCCAACCGGTGCTGGGAAAACAATGTGTATACAAATTCTGATGAAAGCTTTAACGCAGTGTGGCGACGTACACAGGCAATTACCATTCTAGCAATGCTTGCGTATTATACATGCATAGCTTTTTTTCAAACATAATTTAACATGTAATCTTAAACGAGTTGCTGCTATTCAGACAGTCAAATTGATGGTTCGTCGTTGATTCGTTTAATCGCGCACGAGTGAAAATTTTATGCTAAGTAATTCAATATAGAAAATCTTATCTTATTTAAATTAGAAATTACAAAAAACCGTATTTACAGTAATGAATGCATAAACAAGGTATTTGCATGCGTTTTTTATGTTTCAAGCTTGCTTTCTAATCAAGAAATGTAAAAGAGGCTTATTAAGTTCCGTGCAGTTAATGAGAAACTAAAACGAGATCACTTACTTGACGTTCAAGGTCTCTTCAAGGTTATCTCTTACCTACAGTTAAATGCTTGCATCGTTCGTCAGAAAGAAACAAAATATATTCACTCTTTTTCCCAGAAATGCTGGCGATTTAGGCAAATTTCTAAGTAAAATATGGCAATGAAAAAATATATAAAAAATTGTTGGATAATCGTTTTAATTATGCGTTCTGTTTAAATGAAACGTAGTTTTGTTCTACCGATCGATTCGTAACAAAGATCGTCATTACAGAGAAATGAGGATGAATCCGAAAAGCATAACAGCAGCTCAAATGTTTGGTCGTCTGGACGTGGCCACAAACGACTGGACGGACGGCATATTTTCGGCTCTATGGCGTAAAACGTTGAAGTTGAAGGAAGGAGAACACGTGTGGATGGTCCTGGACGGGCCGGTCGACAGCATTTGGATTGAAAACTTGAACTCTGTCTTGGACGACAATAAAACGTTGACGCTGGCGAACGGCGATCGTTTATCGATGGCTCCTACCTGTAAGATCATCTTTGAACCGCACAACATCGACAATGCTAGCCCTGCGACGGTTTCCCGCAACGGCATGGTCTACATGAGCTCCTCCGGTCTCGATTGGAATCCTGTGGTGACTGCTTGGTTGAAAACAAGAACGATTTTGGAGCAGGAGGTGTTTGAAGAATGCTTCGCTAACTCGTTTGGGCAGGTGAACATCGATTGTAATCGTAATTAATACAGTAATGTCTCCCTAATTGACGCTCAGGTTGTCCACAAAAATGGACAATTTGGCAAGAGGAGATACGATTATTCGAGCCTTGCGGTTCGTTTTTATAGTTACGAATTGTCGACAACTATAAAAACGAGCTACAAGGCTCGGATAATCGTGTCTCCTCTTCCCAAATTGTCCATTTTTATGCACTATCTTAGTTATCTTATTAATTTTGTGCACTATCTTAGCACTTATCTCTTGTGCACATCACACACTTTCAAACTAACTCTCATTCTACAGGATGTCCCAAAAATGTCTCGCAATCCGGAAATGGTGGGTTCCTCGGATCATTTGAAGCAACTTCTTCCTTTACAAAAATTTTCTCCGAGGCACCGTTAACGAGTTATTAACGAGAAATAGTGACCAATAAGAATCGAATACGGCTGACGCGAGGCGGCCCAGTCAACCAGCGCACGAAGCCCAGTTCCGCTCATTGACTCAGTCCCCTCGCGCCAGCTGAGCTGGGATTCGACCGCCTCGCGCCAGCTGATCTCGCCTCTCATTGATCACTGTTTTTCGTTAATAACTCGTTAACGGTACCTCGGAGAAAATTTTTGTAAAGAAAAAAGTTGCTTCAAATGACCTGTGGAACCCGCTACTTCCAGATTGCGAGACATTTTTAGAACACCTTGTATAATACTATCGCCACTCTTGCACTTTACCATCACCATCAACATATATCAATTAATAGGAACACAAATGTATTTTATATTCAAGTATCTCACACATTCAGTCCATCGAAACACATTCGGCGTTTATAAACATGAAGTACGATAAGTAATAACTGGACTGTGGATTTTTATATAAAATAAAACTTGTCCGCACTCATTGTAAGATACAAAAGCAACACAGACATCGCTTCCTTTCTTTCATTATTTTATTGAATTGAAAATAATACAACAGTATTTAAAAATTCTTTAAATATTTTTACTATTTTGTATTAGATCTACTCGTTGTTGTTACAAATGGCAGAATTATAAATAACTAAATTACAGATCTTCGTGCAAATTATAAATTGATTTCACATCGATTGTAAGCAATCGGAGCCAGACAAATGTTTAATGCCGCCTTCAATCATTTCGATAAAATGAAAGTAACACATACATCGATGCTTTTAAATTTGTTCAAGGTTTCTATTGTTTCAAATTTCACCTACTCGATTTTGTCATAAATTGTCCGCTAATAACAGTGCTTGCAGAATGACCTAACAAATGAAATGCTTAGACAATGCAAGTAAATATTTATTATTTCTGTCAACAATGTACCAACTTTTTTATATTATTTGAAGATCTATTCCTGGAGTACGCAAACAATGACGTTAACCATCGACGTCCTGCAGTGCAATATCGTGCAACAGATGCTGTGTCTTCTGGAAGGATTAGTACCTGCTGAAACTGTAGAGGAGAAGGACGAGGAGGACGAAGAAACGGAAGAAGAGAAACGCCAGCCAATGACGGCGGATCACCTGAAACGTTTCTACGTGTTCACGTTGGTGTGGAGTATAGGAGCCCTTTTAGAAACGCCCGACAGAGAAAAGTACGACTCGTACCTGCGCGGGAACTTCGAAAGTCTAGATCTTCCGGTATCCGAGAAGTACTCTAACGCGAAGGTGTTCGATTTCTTTGTGACCGAGAAGGGCAAATGGGACACGTGGAACAGCATGGTAACCAACTACATTTATCCAGAGTACTCGTCGCCGGACTACAGTAACGTCTTAGTACCAATACCTGACAACGTGAGGATCCAGTATCTGATCGATCTGATAGGTCGCCAGGATAAGGCCGTTTTGCTGATAGGCGAACAAGGCTCGGCCAAGACGGTGATGTTGAAGTCTTACATGAAGAAAGCGAATCCGGAGACCACGTTGAACAGGTCTTTCAACTTCAGCTCGGCCACGAGCCCGTATCAGTTTCAAAAGACCATCGAAAGTTACGTGGAGAAACGTCTGGGGAACACGTTCGGGCCGCCAGGAGGCAGGAAGATGTTGATCTTCATCGACGATATAAACTTGCCGCAGATAAACGAGTGGGGCGACCAGATCACGAACGAAATCGTGCGCCAGACGATGGACATGAAAGGATTCTACTCGCTGGAGAAGCCTGGAGACTTCAGCAGCATAGTGGACGTGACATTTCTGGCCGCGATGTGCCAACCTGGCGGAGGACGCAACGACATTCCGTCCAGGCTGAAGAGGCAGTTCTGCATCTTCAACTGCACGTTACCCGACGAACCATCGATCGATCGGATCTTCGGCGTACTCGGCGAGGGACACTACAACATGAAAAGAGGATTCTCGTCGGACGTCAGAAGTCTCGTGAAGAAACTGGTCCCATTGACCAGGATACTGTGGAATCAAACCAGAACCAATTTACTGCCGACACCGGCGAAGTTTCACTACGTGTTCAGTCTTCGGGATTTGTCGAGGATTTGGCAAGGCATGGTTGGCACGTTGTCAACCGTCATTGACAAGGAGAACGTGCTGATGTTGCTGTGGAAGCACGAGTGCTGTCGCGTTTTCAGTGACAGATTCACGATACAGGCCGACAAGAAATGGTTCCAAGAAGAACTGATCCGAGTCACCAACGAAATGCTGGGAGAAAGATACGTGAGCATGTTGGACCAGAATCCTGCATTCGTCGATTTCATGAGGTAGGATGATATGTCCGATAATCATTTAGAAATCGTTGCTTAATTCTCTGAGCGAGATTGACCTAAATCAGCTGTTTTACTATTAAATTCGTACAACTTTGAATACAATTCTAGCATGTCTCGATAGTTATAGCTTTTTTAAAAATATGATACTCCAGCGAATGAACAGTGTAACATTTTTTAAAGAAACGTGAGTATGTTGGAGCAGAATTCTGCATTCGTTGATTTTATGAGGTAGGACAATATGTCCGATAAACGAACGTTCAAGGTGCATATTTGTCAAAATGATCATTTAGAAATCGTTGCTTAATTCTCTGAGCGAGATTGTCCTAAATCAGCTGTTTTACTATTAAATTCGTACAACTTTGAATACAATTCTAGCATGTCTCGATAGTTATAGCTTTTTTAAAAATATGACACTCCAGCGAATGAACGGTATAACATTTTTTAAAGAAACGTGATTTTAAATTACTTATTTATCTCCTTCAATTAATTAGAGCAACTGTTGCGATCAGTGGGATAAAAAAGAACATTTTTTATGCAGTTTTATGCATAATTCCGATTGTCTTATTTTTGAAGTACGGTAATGTCTCCCTAACCGACGCTCAGATTGTGCACACGAATGGACAATTTGGGAAAAGCAGATACGATTATCCGAGCCTCGCATCTCGATTTTATAATTGTTAACGATCGGCGACTATAAAAATGAGCCGTGAGGCTCAAACAATCGTATTTCCTCTTCCAAAATTGTCCATTTTCTTCCACAATCTGAGCGTCGATTGCGGAGAATTTACTGTATCTTCGATTAAACGTGGTCAGACGTCTAATTAGCTATCGATAAGCGTTTCGTCATAATTTCCAGAGACGCCCCCGAGCCTACCGGCGAGGAAGGTGAAGAAGCCGACGTGGAATTGCCGAAGGTGTACGAGCCAGTTTACGACGATCAGATACTAAGAGACAGATTGGAGATGTTCTTGTCGCAGTTCAACGAAATGCAAAGGGGTTCGGGCATGGATCTGGTCTTCTTTCCAGACGCTATGTTGCACTTGGTGAAAATCTCGCGAGTCATTAGACACCCGAAAGGGAACGTGATGTTGGTCGGTGTCGGCGGATCGGGCAAACAGAGCCTGACGAAGCTGTCTTCTTTCATCGCAGGCTACAAGACCTATCAGATCACTTTGACGAGATCGTACAACGTGGCGAACTTCTTAGAGGATCTGAAATACCTTTATCGTACGTGCGGCGCCCATGGTAAAGGGACCACGTTCATATTCACCGATCTGGACATCAAAGAGGAAGGTTTCTTAGAGTACTTGAACAACATTCTCAGTTCCGGCGTCATCAGCAACTTGTTCACGCGGGACGAGCAGCAAGAGATCATATCCGAACTGACGCCGACATTGAAACGCGAGAACCCGAAGCGAACGGTGAACAACGAGCTCGTGATGGAGTTCTTCCTTCAAAGAACCTGTCACAATCTGCACGTGGTCTTCTGCTTCTCCCCTGTCGGAGAAAAGTTCCGGAACCGTGCGCAACGTTTTCCCGCTCTGATATCAGGCTGCACGATCGATTGGTTCCAGCCGTGGCCCAAGGACGCTCTGATCCTAGTAGCTAAACACTTTCTACACGACTTCGACATCGCTTGCACCGACGCGGTGAAAGCTGAGCTGGTGAACGCGTTGGGCTCCATACAAGACATCGTCTCGATGAAGTCCGCGGAATACTTTCAAAGATTCCGCAGAGCTACTCACGTCACTCCGAAATCTTATTTGAACTTCATCGGGGGCTACAAGAACATCTATCACAGCAAGCAGCACGAACTCGGGGAGGGTGCTAAGAGGATGGACACGGGCTTGGCGAAACTGGAGGAGGCCTCGAGATCGGTCGAAATCCTGAAATGCGACCTCGCTGTGATGGAACAGGAGCTGGTCCAAGCTTCCGAGAAGGCTGAAACGGTTCTGTTGGAGGTGACAGAGAGAGCGATGCAGGCGGAAGCTTTCAAGAATCAAGTGCAAAAGGTGAAGGAGAAAGCCGAGCAGTTGGTGGCTTGCATAGCCGAGGAGAAAGCACTCGCCGAGCAGAAGCTAGAGGCTGCTAAGCCAGCACTGGAAGAAGCAGAGGCAGCTCTGAACACGATCAAGCCTGCCCACATAGCTACCGTCCGAAAATTGGGCAGACCGCCGCATCTGATCATGAGGATCATGGACTGCGTGCTGATCCTGTTTCAGCGCAAGATCGGCTCCGTCGTGCCAGACAATACCGCCCTCTGCCCGAAACCATCCTGGGCGGAATCCTTGAAGCTGATGGCTAGCACGACTTTCCTTCTTCAGCTGCAAAATTATCCGAAGGACATAATCAACAACGAGATGGTCGAATTGCTGCAGCCTTACTTCAAAATGGAGGACTATAACATGGAGACTGCGCGACGGGTTTGCGGAGACGTGGCAGGCTTACTGTCCTGGACAAAGGCCATGGCCTTCTTCCACTCTGTCAACAAAGAGGTCCTTCCACTGAAGGCTAACTTAGCCTTGCAGGAAGCCAGACTGAAAGTAGCGATGGAGGACTTGGCTAACGCGGAGAGAGAGCTATCGGAAAGAGAAATGGCGTTGCAGGCGGTCAAAGAGCAGTACGATTCGGCTGTTGCGGAGAAGCAAAGGCTGACAGACGCGGCGAACGTTTGCATCAGGAAAATGACAGCTGCTACTGCTCTGATCAACGGACTCGGAGGCGAGAAGATACGCTGGACCGAGCAAAGCAGCGAGTTTAAAGTTCAACTGGGACGATTAGTGGGCGATGTTCTGCTGGCCACTGGTTTCTTATCTTACTGTGGACCTTACAATCAGCAGTTCAGAGCAGGCTTGGTGTCCTCCTGGATGAACACATTGGCAACCAAGTCGATTCCTTTCACCAAAAATCTGAACATCACGAACATGCTGGTCGACAGCGCAACCATGTCGGAGTGGACCCTCCAAGGGCTGCCAAACGATGAACTGTCCGTACAGAACGCGCTAATCGTGACCAAATCATCGTCCTATCCTCTGTTGGTTGATCCGCAAAACCAGGGGAAGATGTGGATTAAGAATAAGGAATGTATGAACGAGCTACAGATAACGTCTCTGAACCACAAATACTTCAGGACGCATCTCGAAGACAGCCTGTCTCTAGGCAGACCGTTGCTGATAGAAGACATAGCGGAGGAGCTAGATCCGGTCCTCGATAATGTGTTGGAGAAAAATTTCATCAAATCCGGCTCGATCGAGAAAGTGATCGTCGGTGACAAGGAGTGCGACGTGATGCCTGGCTTCATGCTGTACATCACCACGAAGCTGCCGAATCCAGCGTACAGTCCGGAAATATCGGCGAAGACGTCGATCATCGATTTCACGGTCACCATGCTGGGCTTGGAGGATCAGTTGTTGGGTAGAGTGATTTTAATGGAGAAAGCAGACCTGGAGGCCGAGAGGGTGGCCCTTTTCGAGTCCGTGATGACGAATCAACGATCGATGAAGGAACTCGAGAGCACCCTGTTGCACCGGCTAACGTCGTCCGAAGGCAACTTGGTGGACGATGAAGCGCTCATCAACGTGCTCAGGGAGACTAAGACGACGGCGGAGTCCGTGAACGAGAAGCTGAAGGTCTCGGCGTTAACGAAGAAGAAGATCACCTTGGCCCGAGAGGAATTCCGCGCGGTCGCGTCTAGAGGCTCCATCCTCTACTTCCTGATCGTGGAGATGAGTAACGTGAACGCGATGTACCAGAACTCGTTGAGACAGTTCCTAACGATATTCGACAACTCGATCACAAAGTCGACGAAGAGCCCGATCACCAACGAACGAATAAGCATAATCCTCCGCCACTTGACCTACGAGGTGTGGGCCTTCACGCTGCGGAGCCTGTACGAGAGACACAAATCATTATTCACGTTGATGCTAGCGATGAAGATAGATTGCCACAGGGGTACGATATCTCACGCGGAGTTCAACGCGTTTATAAAAGGCGGTGCGTCATTGGACTTGAACGCCGTCGCCCCGAAGCCGTTCAAGTGGATCCTTGACATCACTTGGCTGAACCTCGTGGAGATCAGCAAGCTGAAGACATTTACGGACGTCTTGACCAAGATTGAATTCAGCGAGAGAGAGTGGCGGGTGTGGTACGAGAAAGAGAAGCCCGAGGAGGAGGAACTTCCCTGCGGATATCAGAAGAAGCTGGATGTCTTCAGGAAGCTGCTTTTAATTAGATCGTGGAGTCCGGATAGGACCTTGTCCCAGGCGAGGAAGTACGTGGTCGAATCCCTGGGAAAGGAGTACGGAGAGGCCAAGATCCTGGACTTGGAAGCCACTTGGTTGGAATCGGAAGTCAGGACTCCGCTTATATGCATATTATCGATTGGGTCCGATCCTAGTCCTCAGATAACGATACTGGCGAAACAGAAATCCATTCGTGAGTAACAAATTCGGCTAGATGCGATCGAATCGTAACCGTGAGGGAGGCAACTTTGTGGACGAGTACAGTAATGTCTCCCTAATTGACGCTCAGATTGCGCACAAACATGAACAATTTGGGAAGAGGAGATCCGATTATTCGAGACTTGCAGCTCGTTTTTATAGTTGTTGACAATCGATAACCATAAAAATACGAGCCACAGGGCTCGAACAGTCGTATCTCCTCTTCCCAAATTGTCCATTTTTGTGGACAATCTGAGCGTCGATTAGAGAGACATTGCTGTACTTAATTCGGCATAATTTTAAGCATCGTTCCGATCGTTTCGTCGATGTCACAGAACTCAGGTCAGTGTCCATGGGTCAAGGTCAAGAATTTCACGCGCGCAGATTGATCTCGGACGCCATGAACACCGGCGGTTGGGTGCTGCTGCAGAACATTCATTTGTCGCTACCGTTCTGCACGGAAGTTATGGACGCCCTCGTGGAAACGGAATCGGTGCACGAGGTGTTCAGACTTTGGATGACCACCGAAGTGCACGCTCAATTTCCTATCGGTTTATTACAGGTTTCTATAATTATTAAAGTAGCGATAACAATGATAACTCGTTGAACGAACGTTGATGGTAAAAGAGTGTACGGTGCAAACTTTCACAAAAATTAGTTTTTCCTTTGAAGAAGTTTCGATATCGCTTTTGTACAAGTCCGACATTCGTCGTGCGTTGAAAATAATATTTTCAAACCTACTGAAAGATTGATGTAAAAAACGATCATTCTTGCACCTAACGCTGGTTGCAGTTAATGAACCACGTTATCGTAATTGAAGTAATATTTCTCAGAGTAGAAAAAGGTCGTACGATACGTTAGTTGATTCTTTCATTGTTACATCGACCGACGAATTATTTTTATGACGTCCGGTAATTTTCATGAAACGTAGCGTACACTCTTATACTAAATACTGTTAATTGCATGTTGCGTGTAACAATGAAACGTGTCTCAGATGGCGATCAAATTCACAAACGAGCCACCGCAAGGTATCAGAGCCAGTTTGAAGAGAACATACCAAGCTGTGACGCAGGATACATTGGATTATAGTACACAATCGCAATGGCCACCTTTACTGTACGCGGTAGCGTTCCTGCACACGGTTGTTCAAGAACGCAGGAAATTCGGACCCCTTGGCTGGAATATTCCGTATGAATTTAATCAGGCTGATTTCGCGGCCTCGGTTCAATTCATACAGAATCATTTAGATGACATGGACCCAAAGAGGGGGGTGTCGTGGCCAACTGTCTGCTACATGCTTGGAGAGGTTTGCTGATTTCGTTGTACCGCATGAAATTGCACCCTTTTGTTGGACGGAATAAAAACAAGATATTTTCACAGAAATCTGTATTCTATCAAAATAAGAACCGTTAACTTTAACCGCTTAATTTTAGACACTTGACTTTAGTAAATGACCATTGCCAATTAAAATATTCCATACTTATGAAAATTAATAGATAATAATAATCGAATTTGAATAAATATGAGGTTGTGGAAAATAGCATCGCTAAAGAAATAAAACCCACAAGATTCTAAATCACGTTCAGGAGAAAAAGAAAGGATTAGATTATGTTGAAAGAATTAGTTTACTAGTTGATGAACAAAAAGGGCCTAACCGATAAAGTGTAATGTAGGAAGAAAGAACTCTGTTCCCGTAGTGGCCACATTTTTTTCAAAATATTAAAAAACCACCGAAGGGGGAAATGGGCGAAAAAGCGCGCAATCTAATTTACCCTGTAACTACCCTCACGGATTAGTTACAGAGTTGAAATTTTGCACAGATGAGTTTTTCTCAGTCAGCTATGGAACGGTATAATACTCATTAATGAACCTCTAAGGGCAATTTTGACCGTCTTAATCGGCTAGGATCTTTGTCGAGAACGTCGCATTTTTGTTGCCTTTCTTGTGCCAGTATTAGGACATCCTTGATACAAAAGTGAAAATATTTTAATTAAAAACTAAATGTTACTTACGGTATAATACTCATTAATGAACCTCTAAGGGCAATTTTGACCGTCTTAATCGGCTAGGCCCTTTGTCGAGAACGTTGCATTTGTTGCCTTTCTTGTGCCAGTATTAGGATATCCTTGATACAAAAGTGAAAATAATTTAATTGAAAACTAAATGTTACTTTCTGTAGTATTAACGTTAAACTTAATGTAACAAAGAACGTTTCGTATTACATACAATTTAGAATTTGTTACATTCGCATTGTTCTGTGGGGTGAAAACGTAAGATAAACCGTGGTTATATTTATTTTTAATCTACATTCAAATAATTCTATTCTACACATGGTGGCAGAAACAATAAATCGTTTATTCTTGAAGCCAGTTCGAAGGCAAGATGATTAAACATGATTTTCATATCCTTGCGAACACAGGTCCAATATGGAGGCAGAGTCACCGACGACTTCGACAAACGGTTATTGACCACGTTTACGCACGTCTGGTTCTGCGATGTACTGTTACGTCCCGGTTTCGAATTCTATCGTGGATACAAGCTACCACAGACTAGAAATCTTCAAGGATACATAGATTACATCGACGCGTTGCCTGCTACGGACACTCCGGAGGTATTCGGATTACATCCAAACGCGGACATCACCTATCAAATAAATACGGCGAAAGGGATACTGGACACAATTCTAAGCGTCCAGCCGAAGGAAGGAGGCTCGCAGGGTGGCGAAACAAGGGAGAACGTTGTCTACAAATTAGCTAGCGACATGTTGGCCAAGCTACCGAAACAGTATAACGCTTTCGAAGTGAAAGAAGCGCTTCAACGAATGGGAGCTTTGTTGCCGATGAATATATTCTTGAGACAAGAAGTCGACAGGTGCTAAAATTCCTATACAGAGCTGACTAATATTTACGAAAAACATATTTCAAATATTATTTTAAACGATAGGATCTTCATAATTGAAATAAAATAGGATCTCAAATCGGAAATGTAATTTCAGTGAACAAAATATTTTATTTTTGTAATCTGAAACATAGTAGTATCTTCGATTGATAACCTTGCCCTGGTAACTCTTCGTAAGCCTTCATAACTCGTGCATTACTAAATATTCCAAATTAAGAAAAATATCTTTCGCATATTTCAAATAAAACATGTGATTTGAAATACTATTTTAAACCATGTTTACATTAAAATAATTTATTTTCGGAAGTATAATTTTAAAATAATATTCTATCCAGCTCTGTTCATATACGAACTTTATTCATTTTTTATAGAATTACGAGAGTGATAAAAGAAGTGCGCAGCACATTGACGAACCTGAAACTAGCGATCGAAGGTACCATCGTAATGAGCCAAGGATTACGAAAATCTCTCGACGCTATGTACGATGCGCGTATACCGGAAAGATGGCTGAAGATATCCTGGGAATCAGCAACCCTCGGATTCTGGTACACCGAACTTCTAGAGAGAGACTACCAATTTAGACAATGGTGCATTCACGGCAGACCTAAAGTTTTCTGGATGACCGGCTTCTTCAACCCCCAAGGATTTTTAACTGCTATGCGACAAGTTAGTTGAAACGAAAAGTCGTTTTTGTCGGTATAGAAATGTAGAATATTTCTTTGACTATAGCTTGCCACAACCTTTTCAGAAAAGAAACTAGTGGAAGTAGTATTGCCTTATTAAATTCATTATTTACAGCCTTTGGTCATCGTTAGATTGCGGATTTTTACATTTTACAGAAATTAGAGATTTCAATTTCATTAATTAAACTACTTTGATCTTGTGGAAATTTTAGGAATTAACGAACATCTATGTTCCTCTAATCCAATTGGCCGAAGTTCTGCGATATTTGTCATATTGAAGTTATTTGATATAATTTTCTCTTTTAAAGACTTATATACTTCATACACTTGCATTTACTTTTTATTTGGAACATTACTTCAGTAATAAATACGTCCCAGTTTCCAATACGGAATCAGAATAAATTTTCCGTATGCAAATGATTATACATATATTCTCGTTATTTAATCACGTGTCTAAAATTGATGTTTTTAAATTGAATAATAATTATGATTTGAGTATGTGTACAAATTGAAGCGCGAGACTTTATATCACAATAACAAATAAATGTCACGGATCGTCAACGTATCTAGTCATAATAATTAGGTAGGTAATAGGGCTATAAAAACAAATTGTTTTCTGTTGTTTTTTCTTACATGTCGAATAGCTTCAGTGTTATTTGAATATGTTCGTTGTCAACGCTAATAGCATCCATCATTATATTTACTTTATTCATTGTACTCCCCTTATAAAGTATGATAAAAATGTCGTCTAAGAAAACCTGTAAATTCTTTAAATGTTCTGTTACATTCGGATATAATAATAGTAATAAAAAATCGTAATTAATTTCGAATATCCAGAACAATATTTGCAGCAAACGTTTTTCAATGAAAGCTTGCACATGTGATGTTTCTCAAGCATATTAAAATGTTGCATATGTATGTCGAAGGAGGTAACTCGAGCACACAAAGGATGGGCCCTGGATTCCGTGGTGTTGCAAAATTTGATTACAAGGTTCAATAAGGAAGACATTAGGAATCAGCCCCAGGAGGGGGTCTACGTTCATGGTCTATTCCTGGAAGGTGCCTCGCTCGATCGTAAAACGGGCAAGTTGGTGGAAAGTAAACCGAAGGTCCTATACGAGCAGATGCCTGTGATTTACATTTACGCGATAAACACAACTGCGGGCAAGGATCCAAAGCTTTACGAGTGTCCTATATATAGGAAACCGCAGAGAACAGATACAAAGTATATAGGATCGATCGATTTCGAAACCGACCATAATCCTCGACACTGGACGTTACGGGGCGTAGCGCTTTTATGTGACATCAAATAAAATACTCCAGAAACGATTCGATTTCTTTCTTTAATCATTCCATTTCGGAACTTATTATCTAGTAATAGAAAACACTCTGAGAAATGTTGGAAATCCTTTTGGAGAATACTGTACGTTCATAAATTATATAGGATGACATTTTAATCTAATTCCCAGGTCTGATCACGTCACTCGCGTGCCATTGTTTTCCTGGCAATTATTATTTCGTTATAGTTAGTTATAAATTATTATTATTAATATTTGATTAGCGTCTATTTAGTCTCAGTTTAGTAATAAAGTGTTAAATTCTTTGTAAACCTCTTCAAAATATTCAATGTCTATATACCAAAATAATTGCGAATAAAAGGATATTTCATTTGATGTAACTGATATAAAATCGGCGTGTGATATTGAAGGATACAACATAAAATTAACGATGAGTCATCTTATTTTATTTTCTGATTTCTCAGAAACCTGTAATTAGGAGTATCGCCACGAGAATAAATACAGTTTTGAATTTTCAAAAAAAATCTTTCAACTTTGTTGACA